GTGTGTGTGTGTGTGTGTGTGTGTGTGTGTGTGTGTGTGTGTGTGTGTCCTGGCAGCGGTGACATGCAGACAGGCCGAGTCCAGCAGCTGAAGCCCCAGTGGCTGCTGGGCTGTCTGGCTCTGACGCCCAGAGAAGAGTCCAGGCCTGTTTACCAAAACGCTGCTCCCTGGCTGCGGGGCACGGATGTGTGGGAGGGCGAGTGTCGGCCGTACGGGTTGAGATGCAGCACTTGAACCTTTCACCTCTTTGAATCGTTTAATGAGCCTCACATACCGTCTCTCTTACATCCATGTGTGTGTGTGTGTGACGCTGTCTCAGATAAATCTGACTCTCTGACGCTCCGGAGCCAAATCAAATTCAGCAAAAATCTGATTCCTCACAGCTTAAACCAGATTCCTGAAAGCCAACAAGCAGCTTCTGAACTGCTGAGCAAAAGACAAAACGCCGCTGCTGTGAATCTACATTGACGTTTTAGTCATTTAACTAACTCCTTCACCTACAGCGACAGCACAATAACTGAGAGAAACCAATACCCAATATTACGAGCAACCAAGAGTAAGGAGCGTAATAATCCGAGCTGCTGCGCCCTGACAGGTCTGCTGCAACCACAGAGTGATCACGTAAGAGGAATAAAAATAAAAAGCACTCACGCTGGAAGGAATGTGTTGTGGTTGTTGTTTTCAGGGGGGGAAAAAAACAATGAAAACGGGGTCACGGATGCAGAAGAGTAAAGAATCTGCAGCAAGTTAAAACTTTGAAGAGTTAGAAATGTAAGGATTCAGCACAGAAGGAAACACATGCAGAGTTAGGAATAAATGAAACCATAACAAAAGATAAGAGCTGGAAAAATATTTACAGTGCGAGAGTCATAAATTAGAAGGAAAGCAATTAATTAGTTTGTGCAAATGTATGCTGATGATAACTGTAGTTCTGAGGTGGACGGAGGATGCACAGAGCAGCGCTTCCTGACGCTTTCTTTCCCTGCTGGTGTTTGTTGCAGATATCAGGACTTGTTTTCTTCCCTTCAGCAGGAAAAAAAAAACAAAAAAACAACATCCTTGTCGTACAGTACGAGAAACAACCTCCACAGTGTGAGATAATTCATCACAGCAAACATGACAACTTAATTTGGGTTTGTCAAACTTCCTGTTTTATCATTATTTACTGTAGTTTTGCCGGCGCTGAACGGTGCCAGGCGTTACGATACGCTCTGCTTACTGCCAATCACCTGACAGACACGGGAGGAACTCACATCTCTGGGAGAAAAAAGAAAACCTTTGTTCATCAGGAGAACATTACTTAAAAATAACTTCACAGTGGAAGTGTTAATATTAAAAGAAAGAGAAGGATATTAGTTTGATCGAGCCTTCCAAAACAAACAGGTGAATATATTTTAATGGTCTGATCTGTGTACGTTTAGGCAGATATGACTTCTTGGTGAGGATTCAAAGACCAGAGTTAACTGTGGTGAGGAGATCCAAAGACAAACAGCCTTCTATCCACTCCTTGTTAACATGTGGTGTCTTCACAGCTGGTTTAATGTGTGTTGCTGAGAGGAAAGGCCACTCAAACACCTTGAACATGAATCAAACATATAAGGCCTGTTGGTGAAGTGGACTCATATAACCCGGCAGTATAGGAGACATGTTTCATCCAGCAGGGGCCACAATGTAGAGATGTACTAAAAAAATCTAGAATAATCCATCCATCCATCATCTCTACACCTTCATCCTCACTATGGGGGGCGGAGCCTATCCCAGCTGACTCAGGGTGAAGGCAGGTTCACCTGGACAGGTAACCAGTCTATCACAGGGCTACACTTAGAGACAGACAACCAAGCACACTCACATTCACACCTACGGACAATTTACAATCACCAATTAACCTCAGCATGTTTGTGGACTGTGGGAGGAAGCCGGAGAACCCGGAGAGAACCCACGCTGCACGGGGAGAACATGGAGACTCCACGCAGGAAGATCCCGGGTGTCCTCACCGGGACGCCAACCGGCGACCTTCTAGCTGTGAGGCCACGGTGCTAACCACTGATGCACCGTGCAGCCCTCTATAATATATATATATTTATTCATTTCTTAATGGAGCCATACTGTAGGTTTGAGCACTAAGTGGATCAAGCATCTTAAAGCGAACCGATTCAAACTCCTGAACTGTGGCGTTGTCGTTCTCACGTTGAGCGCTGAAAACCAGAATAAGCTGCGTCTTATTGATCTTTATTGTGCCAATCATTGAGCAACTATACACATTCATTAAAAGTACCCTGTGTTTAGCTTCTCTGTTCCTAAGATTTCTGACTCAAGCGAGCCAATCTTTGTGGCTGTCAATACTGAAAATAAATCAGCATGATGAGAAACGTCCACTTCATTTTAATTTAATTGATTATTGATTGCTAACGTGGCTAACTATTAGCGAAGGACGTTTTTAAAAATTTGCAGCCCTAATAATGATTTATTATTTTTTAAATCAATACTCAAATCATGACATATCATGATTATTCTTAGATTTTTTGAATTGCACTTTGACATTTAAATAGAGAACCTCCATGTTCCCACTGGGCCTTATTCACAGAGCAGCTCCTAGAAGCAAAACAGAACTGAACCAAAACTTTTTACTCAAAATGAAGCCAACTG